ACTTTTATCTTTATTATATATAAGAAATCGAAGGAAAATAAAAGATGTGAAAAATAAACGAAAATATTGGGTACACCCGATACTTGAACTAAAGCAACAGCAAGGGGATTGGCACAATTTGGTTAGTGAAATGATTTTGCAAGATGACGAAACATATTTTAATTACATGAGAATGACACCTAGTATGTTTGAATATTTGTTATCAAAAGTTGGTCCTATAATAACAAAAATGGAAACAAACTGGAGGAAACCTATACCAGCTGCTGCGAGATTATCTATGACTATACGGTATGTAGATTAATAACAAGTTAATTTTATTTTATATTATTATCTGTCACATTTATATTAAGCAATAGATATTAATGTTCTTAAAATAAGTAAGAAATTTATTGTTATGTTTAGTTATTTGGCAAGTGGAGATGGACTCCATAGTATTTCACTTAGTTATAGAATTGGAAGAAGTACTACAACATTTATAATAAAAGAGACTTGCGAAGCTATATGGAATTGTCTTAATACGGAAGAATTATTTACGCCAACATCAAATGGTTGGCAAGAAATAGCTTATGAGTTTGAAAACAGATGGAATTTTCCAAACTGCATTGGTGCTTTGGATGGAAAGCATGTATCTATAATTGTAAGATTATATTAAAATAGATAAAATAAAGGGTGAAATATTTATCACATAACTAATAAATATTAAATTATTTTCAGTGTCCCGAAAAAGCAGGAAGCACCTTTTATAATTATAAGGGGTTTCACAGTATAGTTTTATTGGCACTTGTAAGTGCCACATACAAATTTTTAATTGTGGACATTGGTGTTCAAGGAAGACATAGTTATGGAGGAATTTTTAAAAATTCCATAATGGGACAACTATTTTATAATAATAATATGCACTTGCCTGCTCCCTCCGCTATTAGTACAAGACATAACGTTCCATATGTTATTGTAGCTGACGAGGCATTCCAATTGAATTCATTTACTATGCGATCATATCCATCAAAAAATTTAACAAAACAACAACGAATATTTAACTACAGATTGAGTAGAGCTCGACGGGTTGTGGAGAATGCATTTGGCATATTAGTTAGTCGATGGCGTATTTATCAAAGGCCTTTAAATACTAGTCTTCAAACAAGTGATGCAATAATCAAAGCAACAGTTTGCTTACATAATTTATTAATGAATACCTCTTATTACTGCGGAAAAAATTATGCTGATAACTTATCAGCAGATGGCCGAATAATTGAAGGAGAATGGAGACAAAGACATATAAATATAGATAATTGTAACAATAGAAGTTTTGGTAGCAACAACTATACTAGAGAGGCTGGTGAAGTAAGAAACATTTTTACGGACTACTTCATAAACGAAGGTAAAGTGTCTTGGCAAGAAGATATTATTTAAAGAAATCATTATTATATATATTGTAAGTTTGTATTTATTGTAAAATAAACATTGTACATATATATGTTTGTGTTTTTTAAAGATTAATTTGCAATCTACACTACCTCTAAAATATTAAGTATTATATTTAGATTACATTTAGATATTAATATAACGTGTATGTAAAATGTGTAACATTGTACAACATAACTGTCATTTAGTAACATTTAGCAATCAAATGTACATAAAGGTACTGACAGAAAAACTAAAAAATAATAAGCATATAAGATAATTAGATATAGAACATTAGAAAATAATTGTAGCAACAGAATAATAGAATATTGAATACTGAAATCACATATTTTAAATATCTTTTTCTGTAACTAGTTTTATATAACATTGCACAACATAACTGTCATTTAATAACATTTAGCAATCACATGTACAGTACACTTAGATACTGAAAGAAAAAAGTAAAAGAACACATAAAATAACAAGATATAGAATACTAAAATCAAATTTTTTAGATATCTTCTTCTGCAAAGAGTTTTAATATTTTTTTTGTAATACGATTGGAGACTTCTGCACTCATTCTTCGAAGACATGTTTCAAGATATGTAACAAAAGATTCGATTTCATCAGGTTTTGTATGACGTTCATTTGCTGGTCCCATCCGTGATAATTCCTTCAAAATAGCTTCTTCAAAGTGAGAACTTGTATCACTTTTTTCTTCTATCTTTGCTTTTTCTGTAAAAATAAAAAAAGTAAAACATTTTTCTGTATTACATGTAATAAAGAAAATATTTTTTATATACTAACAAATGTTTTGAAAATAAAAGCAAATGAAAATACACTGTACGTTAATGTTTTAGACAATGTTTTAGAATGTTTTACAACTTACGTAAAATAAATAAATTAATAATTTATATACATACTGATGCGTTTTCTGCTGCACGATGACTCTACTTCGTCTGTTGTACTAGAATTATCTGAATTTGGTGTATGTAAAGGTGGGGGAGCTATATGAAAAAAGTAAATATAAAATGTGAAATAAAATATAAAGCAAAAAGAATTAAGAAACATTTAAACAGTCATTGTATAATTGCTTACAATGATTTTTCTTCGGTTGTATTAATGGTTTTAATAAACTTTTTCTGTAATGGTGATTGGTACAAAACATTGTTTTTTTTTTTGTACTGCAGTTTGTTCCGGGAATAGGTAAAGAAATGGATTGTTCTCTTTCTTTTTTTGCTGAAGGTAAAGATAAAGTTGGTTCTATATTTTCAATATTACTAATTGTCCTGAAATATATAATTTCTAATTAAATTAAAATTAGAAACATTAACATTAACATTATTTCCTAACATTATTTTTTTATATAGATGATATCATATTATAATTACTATCATTATAAATAATATAAGTGTTGAAATAAAATGTTCTAATAATTTATTATATATTATAGTATTGACTTCAATACACTGATACATATGTATATGCATTGTACACATTTATGTAAATTGCAGTTAAGCAAAATCGCACAATACATACCTTCTATAATTTATTGTTGGTGCTAGAAAACGTAAACTTGCATAAAATCGCCAACTACTCTTCTTTTTTACAGCTGCACTACCACTTGGGATATAAGTGCATTCTAAGGCATGCTCTTTTGCAAATCGGTCCCTTAGATTTTTCCACTTAATCTGACTTGTACCAGGAGTTGTTCCTGCAGATATATACATATTGCCCTTAATATAATATATAATTTATATTAAAAAAATATATCTAGATTTGTATATATTAGTGTATGTTTGTGTAATCATACATTCTTACCTAAACAATTATCTATATCAGCCCACAATGTTTTTATAAGTGATGGACCTCTAAGTTTATAAGGAAGAGTTGATTTCCATAAAGGTTCTCTTTCAAACACTGCAGCAATTAATCTTTCGATATAATCATTTTTGCTGCTTGCAGCAATATCATAATTATTGTCAGAAATGGAACAGTTATGTTCCTCTGTAATATCTATTATATTATTGCAATCCCTGCACCACTGTACATAAAAATAATATATATAAATAATATAACTATCTTTACAATAAATATAATAATTAACCTATTATTTTACATAACTTATTAATTACATCAATTATAAAATTAATTACTTGATTCAAATAGTATCATATTATAACTATGATAAAAGTATTAATATATAGATTATTTTTATTTACTTACAATATCAATAGTATCTATTTCGTCTTCCATTTTTATTCTTCAATCTCATAAATCTTCACTGGATGATAATCATTGAACTATCACGATTGATGATATGTGAAAGATTCATAACTATACCGCGCGGCAAAAGTTGGATCGAGTTCAACATTTTCCGCGCGACGGAAGTTATATATCTATTATTTTTGGAAAAGCAAACATTTGATTGGCTACCGCGTCGCTTCTTGCCGCGCGGCAAGCGTTGCCGCGTCCTGTGTGCAGGAGCCATAAAGAAACAACGTTTATTAAGTAAGATGTTGAAATGACTTGCTTCAAATAATCTGCTTCAATGTTCGTGTGTACATGCGAAGCGTGTGCGAAGCGAATTCGAAAGAACATATAAGTAGCGTGAGATAAATAGAAAGTATCGGTGCGATCGGTATGATAACAACGGTGAAATAATTATTCAGCAACGGTGAAATAATTCTTTAAAGCGGCGTGAAATAATCGTAAAAGTATCGGTGAGATTGGTATAAGCGACGGTGAAATAATTAATAAGCAACAGTGAAATAGTTATTGAAGCGGCGTGAGATAAGTACAAAAGCAACGTGAAATAAATTCGAAGTATCGGCAACGGTGAAACAATTATTTACGTGAACGGCGAAATAGTTATGTAAAGCGGCGTGAAATAAATAAAAGAGCGACGGCAAAATAAATATGAAGGCAAACGGTAAAATAATTATTTAAAGCAACGGTGAACGAATTATTAAAGTTCGACGTGAGGCGTCTCGGTGCGATCAAAGAGAGCGCAAGCGCGGGCGATCGTGTCGCAACGGTTGGTACAACGCAACGCTCGTCGGTGAGTGCGTTCGTGACGGTACCGCGAGTCCGTTCGATCGTAGATCGTGACGGGTCGCTCGACGGCGCGGATTGGTCGACGTAGTTTGACGTAGTACGCTCGACGGGAGTACGGGACGCTCGCACTAGAGGCTTTGAGGCCGAATCAGTGTTGCGATATGGGACCGGTTATATGCGCATGTGCGGCTCTGCGCATGTGCGATGATGGAGATCCAGTGCCGTTATATGTTGTGTGTTG